CCGGCGCCTTTTTGTGCCTCAGCTGCCACGACCAAGGGCCTGGGAGCAGCCTGGAGGGGAGGGGTTTGTTCCCTTCCTCCTCCTGCCTCAGCAGGAGACACGAAGGCACAGACTCGTCCTGGGGCAGCAACGCCCGGGGAAACACCCGCAGCAGGGGCAGGCCCCATGGCGGGGCTCTGAGGCGCTGGTGTGGGCAGCTGTAGGGGCGCAGGAGGGACAGGGACAAAGAGCTGCCAGGTGGGACCTGGAGACACCGTACCCAGTGGCTGGTGGGCCCCGGGCTACAGCCGGGCGCTTGCCCACCCCTGGGAGACTTTAGGACCAGTTCTTGCTCTTAAAACATGGTGTGAGCCTTCAGGGGCTCAGACCTCACTGCCACGAACTCCCCTTCACCCGAAACAGCTGCCTTCTTCCCGCATCCCCAAACCAAAGCTGGGTGAGTCTCTGAGGTTCTCGAACATTTATATATGGGAAACACAGCAGGTATTGGACAGAAATATGAAGTACAAGATGGGAAGTCAGAAGACTAGGAGCAACACTACACTATCCCACTACATACAAAAATTTTTACTTTTGAACATTAGCTTTTAGTGGTCCATAACATACCCAGAGAAAAGGAAAAAAAAATATGACAAGGGAACCCTAGTCAGCAAGTTTCTTGATAAGAGGCATGCGAGTAGTTATAGTGTGGGACTCCCTCATAAATACATGTCCCAAGAAAAGCAGAGCTTTCCTTTATGCCCCCCAGACACCAGGCCAGCAGGTTAGGTGACTTACAGCCCGTGGGCTGGTGTGCCTGTCCTGGGATGCAGCCCCTGGGCGGATGCCGACAGGATCTCTCTACACCCCTGGGAGTTCACACGTTCTGTTTTCTGGACTAACCACCATGAGCAGCTGATCTTGTCTCTTCAGTTAGCTTCAGCTCCCATTAGTGCTCCCGCTAACTCCAACCTGCTCGACTGGGTCCTTGGTGCCTGACAGAGGCCCCTTTGGCAATGTGCTGCTGAGTGGCAGGGAGGAGAAGGCTGCAGTGCCTCAGGGTTTGCCATCACAAGCTGAAATCACATGGGTTACAGTCTGGCAGCAAACTCATTTCTACAACCTACCTATCTGAAATGGAAGGTGTCAAGTGACCTGCACCTCTTGGAGGGAAAAAAAAAATATAAAGATATACAATTACCTTTTTTTAATCCATACTTTATTACAGGTGTACATAATAATTATTTATATTTTATTTTAAACAAGAAATTCCTTTCATGGAAAGGAGAAACATTTACCAGTAAAACAGAGTGATTATAGCACAAGTATTTTACAAATATGTACAAATATTGGCAGCTAGTTTCTACCATCAGCTGATAAATGCCTACACGTTACCCTCTACCAAACTAATCCAAACCAAAATAACAAGAGACCTTCTAAATCCAAAAGACAAAAAAATAAGTCTATTACTAACAGGGACAGCTTTTTCATATGAGTACAAAAACTTGCATAATAGATATTCACAGTGCTTGTAAGATATTAATTCATCCTCAGTCTATGAGTACTGGAGGGAGCTGTGTAGACCACTGAGAGAAGACTGTCAGACCTGGAGAGTTTGCCTTCCCTAACCCATGAACGAACACAAGAAACTACCATGTACATACAAGGCAGTGGATGCTCATGCAAGAGCCAATTACATAATTTTTTTTTTTTTCCAGGGATTGCTGCATTTTTTTCAGCCAGAGGATTACAGCATTTCACCAATTCCACTGAACACTTGGTAACTCTAAAAAGAAAACAGCAAGCTGCTTGGTGGCAACACACACCTGAAGCAGATACGAAGGTGATTGTCTTTGAGAAAAGCGTGCATAGATGTGAGCGTGTGGTGCACACACATTTTATGACACCTTTCCAGACAACTATACTCACTGAATTTTGAGTTTTTCATGTTAACAACCATTGCCAGAACCATAAGGAACCATACATCTGCATGCATGGGAGAGCAACAGCCTAGCAGGGCTGTCACTCCAGACCCCTCCCTTTTCCATGGACAGACAGACGTCACTGCAATAAGGGCCATCCCTCCAGCTCCATGGCTGCTGCAAGAACAAGGCTGCTCCCTGTACCATGGCCACTGGCCCCCTGGATCCTGGCTGTGCCCATCTCCCATGGCTTATGGCCAAAAAAGGCCCCAGGTAACAGGGAGTGACAGACAGCAGGAGGCTTGACTGGACTGTTCACAACCAGCCAGATGTCCTTTACCCATTTAAATCCATTTAGGAGAGTTTATTTTGGATGCAGTAAACATACCTCAAGTACTCTGTAAAGGCATTTTGGCTTTGCTTGGAAGAAGGCAGAAGAGGCTACGGTGAACACCCAGTTCCTAACTGTTCATTACAGAAAGAAAGAACGGTGTGATCAAAGAGGGCACGGTCAATTAAGTTGTGTCTGCAGTGAGCTCGTGCCCAGCATTCATTTCTCAAACACACAGCTAGGGTTTGGTGCTGGATTCATCTCAGAGGATGAACAGCCACTGATGCCACTTCAGTAAATGCAGACGCACTGCGATGCTCTGTCTCTACACCACACTCGCTTGCATAGAAATAGTGAGACAACAGACTTCACAGATTCGCTGTTTTAACACTTTACAGGAACACAATTTACCAGACAGCTACTAAGCCCGCAAGCCCACCATCAAAGAAGCAGCTCGAACCCTCCTTGTCGTGGTCTGGCTTCCTTTCCTTTCCTGAATCTGGCTATCTGCAGCTTTTGGGTGATCAACACTGCACAACACACACCTCCTCAGCCAGCAGAATAGCATCAGTCTGCTTCTAGAGTTCACCAACTGCAAGGTTGTCAAAAGCTGGGCACAGGTTACACACGCCTGTAAGTACAAGCTTCCCAAATGCTCGGAAATCGATGAGGGGAGGAGGTACTGGGGGAAGACAGGGAAGGAAATCAAACAAATGTACATTGATTTGGATGTAACAAGGTAGCAGGATGTTTTCCACATCAAATGCTTGAATCAAACAGCATAAGTGTCATTTTCCTAGTGAGAGCCGGCACAGCCAGCTCTACCACTCAGAATCACCAAACAAGTACCCTTAGTTTGGCACACAAACAGCCTGCTCTTCCACCATCACCAGCCCTGCAACATCACACGCTCACAGCTGCGTGACCTATCCATGACTAAGCTGGACACAGTCGCTCTGTCCTGCCAAAGCGACTTTCTCCAGTCCATACTTGCCTCCTAAGCAGAGGAAAAAATCTGTTCCTTAGATATTTTTAAAAGCAAAGAAAAGAACAACATCAAAGTACGATTCAAAGGGGTAATTGTGCCTGGACAAATTCTCCCGTCACACTCCTGTCTTCCACAGCCAGTCACTTAATGCTCTTAACTTGTCTTCTGTACTCTCAGAAGCAGCTGAGTCATTTGTTTTATCCCCTCCCCCAGATCCCCAAGAATATAAGCATTTATTTACCAATCTGCATCACAGCAGCAGTAGACAGCTGAGAGACAGTTACAGTTATTGCAGTAAGAAAAAAAAAAAAAGAAGAAGAATGCACATTGTATTTGGCTGGATGCTTACAACAACAACAAAAAAGAGAAATAAACTCCTGGCAGAGCAGGTCTTGCTTCCAGTAAAGCAAAAAGGCAACTTGTGTTCATTACAACAGGAACAAGCTAAACACTGCCATACCCAAGACCTCCAAATGTGCTCAGACCGTGTCCTGGCCTGACAGTTGTCGGCAGTGTTGCAGCAGCACAAACTCAAGACAACCACACTAGTTGTATGCTAGCATTAACATAAATGGTCCACAAGAGGAAGGCAGGAAGATAAACTGACATAGACTTTAAATTTCTTTCTGATTGATCCATTTAGACTCAGTGTTTGCTTTACTAGCTCAGCGTTCACTTTTGGTCCACAGTTTTTGGTTTTTATGTCGGTTGTGTCAGTGCTCATGGTGCAAGCCACTTCCATTTTCTGCTCAGGCAGACACTTCAAATGCCAACTAAGTGCTACATGCCGGTTGATTTGCCCTGTAGTCAGGTCTGCAGAAGCAATGCCACTTACTGATTACGGAGCTGAATAACAAAACCACTCACAACCTCCTGCAAGAACCAGAGTGACATCACCTGTGTTAATGAGGTATATATTTCCATGATGAGCCATTTCCTGGTATGGAAGAGCTCCAATATCATTACACCACAAACTCCTCTGGGAGCTGGTCCTCTCCCAGAAGATCCAAGGAGAGGCAGTTCATGGATCGCTTCCCATAAAGGGCAGACTTGGTTTTGCAGTCCGCTGTGGAATAAACACAGCCGTACATAGACAGCTTATCCTCCAGGCTGCAGCCAAACGTGTAGCTGTGGGATGTGTCCGAAGACAGCGTGGAACTTAGTGGTGGGTGCTGGTGCTTGTAAAGGCGGATGTCATCCAAACTCTGGCTGTGCTGGTCCGTGCAGATCCTGCTTTTGGGTGATCTGACCTGCCAGTTCAGTAAGACAACACGAATAAAAATGATGAGCTCAGATACAGCCTAAGGATGCTGGCTAAGCATGCTACAAATTTTCCAAAATTGTTCTTCCACTCCTTCAAAACAGCACCACCAGCTTTCTGAAGGATATTGGCTTAATGAAGAAGCTGTGACCCATTAAGAAATTACAAGTGCATTAAGCTGCCCCACTGTCCTGGTTTCAGCTGGGATAGAGGTAATTTTCTTCTTAGTAGCTTGAACAGTGCTGTGTTTTGGATTTAGTATGGGATTTGGTATGAGAAGAATGTTGATAGCATACTGATGTTTTTAGTTGTTGCTAAAACAATCAAGGACTTTTCATCTTCCCATGCTTTGCTAGTGTGCAGGTGCACAAGAAGCTGGGAGGGGGCATAGCCAGAGCAATGGACCCACAATTACTGGTTTAGGATTTGAGTTTAGGTTTAGGATTGAGACCCAAATTGTCTGCTGGTATATTCCATATCATGCAGTGTCATGCCCAGTATATTGTGAGGGTCTGCTGGGAAGCTCTTTCTCTTCCAGCATTGCAGTTTCGGAACTTTCCCTGCTTTGGGATCGTTAGTCTAGAATGTGCTGAGCCTTGCTCAGCGGGTGGTGAGCAATTGCACTGTGCATCAGTTGTTTGTATAGTCTATAGTTGTTATTATCAATATTATTATAATTATTACTTTCAATTTTATTGTATTTCAATTATTAAACTGTTCTTATCTCAATCCATAAGTTTCCTTTCCCTTTACCCCTTCAATTCTCTCCCCCATCCCCCAAGACGAGGAAGGGTGAACGAGTGGCTGTGTGATGTTTTGGTCACTGGCTGAGTTACCACGACACCAGCCATGTTGAGCCAGATCCTGATCTCTCTGCACTGTGTCCTCAGTGTCTAGTACAATGGGCGAAACACGTGACAGGTACTGACACGTGAATGACCTTACACTTCTTGGCAGATCCGTGTAGTCATCCTCAAACAAAGTGCACGTAACAAAAACATTACCGCAACTAATTGAACACACTGAGTTAGTGAAAGTCTAATGCTCTGAAAGGAGGGCTCAGAAGGCAACCAGGCAAACTAATAGGTTATGGTGTCCAAAATTCACTAAGTTCAACATAGTTTCATCTCCATAACATTGTTCAGCAATGAAAAAGCAGAAGTAACAAACCAGCAGTAATTCCCAGAGGCAGCATCTTGCTACACAAGCTGTAGTGACTTGGCCTCTGTGGAGGAATTACTGACCATCTGAGACTTTCCCACCTGTTTTTTTTTGACTCTGTCTCTTCATAATCAGCTTTTAAATGCTAATATTAAGGCTGATTTCAGGAATATCACTTTTCAACCAAGACATTTCTGATGGCAACACAGAAAACTTCTTCCCAGTATCACTGTTTTTTTGTTGTTTTTTGTTTTTTTTTTTTTTTAAAGATGCATCAAATATTTGATGCACTGAAGTGACAGCCAGATCTTTGCAATTGCTCAAACAGTCCTGTGTTGATCAGAAACATTCTTAGAAGACAGATGCCTTCCCATCAATTCACAGTGCAAGTGTGCATTGGTAAAAGCACTAACATAACATTACTTTAAGCAAGATGCCTATTCCCTGCCTTGCACTCTTAAGTTATTCCACTCAAATATGGGAATAAGTTCATTATGATTTGTACTGCAGAGTCTTCAGCTTTGGAAAAAATATTAAAATCTCCTAGAGCACTTTATGGACTACTTTGCTAAGTGAAAATTTCTTATTACTTTTGCTGGGTCCAGGAAGAAGCATGAAAAGAAAAAAAAAAAAAAAAGCCCTAAGAAGTGATTGAAGTTCTTGTTCAGAAAAGTTCAGGGAGTAAAGAGGAAAATGAACAGATTTTTAAAATTCTTTTAGCAGATAAGGCTAGTTTAGATTCAGAGAGGGAAGAAATGGTAGAGGCTTGGTTGTTCTGTTTGTTTTTTTTTAAAAGATGAAACATTTCTACCCCAGTGGGTACAGTTATACTTTGAAAAGAAATACTGTTTGGCCTTAAAAAGACATTGTAATAAGTTTTTTCCAAGGACAACTTATGATATGACATATTTTACCATATATAGTTGCCTTTTCTCAAGGGTTTGATGAAAAGAAAACGTTGACAACAAAGACTTCAGCACACACATAGTATAATCACACAAATGACAGTAATTAGAGCTTGAGCATCTGGTTTTGCTCTGATGTGAGCTCCTTCTGGCTTCAGTAGCAGGAAGATGATGAAGTTTGCAACCCACATCCAAACTGCATGGATGGTCTTGGCTTTATCTTGCACTCAAAATTTGCAAGTGGTTTATTTTCCATTTCCCATCTGGAAAGCTAAGGCAGACGATTGCTGGCTTTCAAGATTTTCATGCAGATTGCTCCAAACCTCTCTATACTATTCTGGACCCAAACACATCTCTCATCCTATCCCTGGCCAACAGCTGGTTTTGGTTACACCATTTAAAAATCAGTCAAATCCACACCAATCAAGTTCACCTGATTTACAGCTGTCTCCATTACACAAGACCCTCCTGCCAGGCATCCCACCTTACCTGGTGAAGGGATTCAATGCTTTGACCTCTCATTTTTATTAGCGTGACTTGCACCACAGACGGCGATTCATGATTTATAGCTGCAAAGGAGAAGGGGGAAGTGAAAAGCGTTGCAGGTTCGAGGTTATGTGGGCTGAGGAACGGGAAGTTGTTCTCACAGGCCACATCCAAGCAGTGCTATCCTATAAATATACATCAGTAAGCACCCTTGATGCTCTGGGAGTTTTGCTTACAAGTATTCCTTTTTGCCCCTAAGGATCAATATTTAAAAGCTCTTAGGAAAACAGCTCCTCACCAATTTGTCCCATATTCACCCAGACAGCTCCTGCGTGACCCCACTGTCTAGCATTCCCTGTATCCCAAGCCACAAATAATTCCTGCAACTAGCCCATTAATCTGTGGTTGAGTCCCTTGGCTGTTATGTGGTATACAAGATTTCAAATAAAATTCCTTCACTAGAAAAGGTTTATCTCGGTTATCTTTTTGTCGTTAACCAGGTCTCAACTCGTCAAATTTGGAAAAGGGAGACCTTGAGGAGTACAGAGGAGGGCAGCACTGTACAAATATAGGGTGCTGGCTTTTAACATCTAGATGAGCTGACTTCAAATCCTGTTGCAATGAGGCAGTGAGTAGCACTGGCAGTTGTTGGAAAGAAAATTCAGCTTTCTTAGATCCCTCAGATTATGCCTGGCTTGTCAAACATACCTTCCTGTTGCTAGAGCCTAAAGAAAAAGTGCTGAGCAGTAGCAGAAAGCCATCTCACCTTGGCAGCTATCAGCATCTAGAGGAAGAGATTCAACAGATTCTCCCACAGTGGCCTCCTCTAACTGGTCTCCCTCTACAGGCTCATCTACAGGCACCTCCTCTGGCTCATCTACTGCCAGCTCAAGCTCTAGGAGGAAGAGAGCAGCAGGAGAAGGGTTAGCATTACACTTCTGCTCCAAACTGCTTCATGTTCTCTTACTCCCTGTTCTCCTGCAGGAGAAGGCAAGAGCGGGCTTAGAACTTGCTCTGCATCTGCAAATTCTTTACCATCGTCCTGAGAGTCATCTTCAGCCCGCCCTTTGCTGCCACTGTCAATGCCAGAGCTACCGTAGCTGATCGTTGAGCTGCAGGATTTCTCTTTCCTGTGCACCTGGTCAATGCCGAAGGGCTCATCCACCGACATTTCCACCGACACTCGGTGCCTGGAGTCAGCCTCAATGCCCGAGGTGTGCGAGCTGCCGTGACTCCCCGTGGACTGGCGCGAGAGACGGTTATCCCTCTGGCTGCCCCCACTGCTCCTGCTGCCGCGCGAGTTCTTATCGCAGGGGTCCAGGTCCATGTCTAGTGTGTCACTGATGTACGACTCCCGATAGCGCTTCTTCTCTGAGAAAGAAAGACAACAGAAATTTAAGCAAGACCAAAGGAAGGGTACCAAAAATAATCAGTAAGTTCTGGGACTGGCACAACCTGACAATTAAGAAACAACTGCTGCAGCTACTGAACAAATACAGGGACAGTTTTGTATTTTGTTTGCTCTACTGATACTGGGATGCCCAGCTGGGTGTAAAAGAATTAGTCATACTTGCAGTAAACCCAGCATCTCCTGACTTAGAACAGGCAGGTAGAGGCAGTTATGATACAGCTTCCAGAATGAAAAAAAGGTCAAAAAAAAAAAAAAAGGGAATTACTTAGCTAAGCTAAGCTAGCTAAGTTCAGTCATTAAAAACAGAGTGCACTGATTGAAACAGTCACCAATGTGTGGAGACAGCGAAGAACAGGATCCCCATGGCTGGCATTTATTAATGATTTAAAAGACAGAAATAACCAAGCTAGATGAGACCAAGGGCCACCTCGCCCTGTACACTGATTCCACACAACCAGCAATCACCACTTCAGAGAAGGATGTAAGCTCCTTAGAGTTAGTTGAGATGGGCAAAAAAAAGCAACAAGGTTCTTCCCGACTTCTCCCAGGAAAGAGTCAGCCTGCATCCTCAGACAAGAGGACCAGCTGCTGCTGGCTGACTTCGACCGACCTTGAAGGTAATGATACAAACCCCAGAGAAGACAGAGAAAGTGTGCATGGAGAACGCAGGGAACAGCAGCCAGGAAAGAAAGGGGGAAAAAAAAGCATTCAGGAGAAGGCTAGAGGAAAGGGACACAATCCTCCCAAAGAAGACCTGTGCAATGCATTAAAAGCAGTTACCAGGGAGAGGTAGGCTGAGAAGTTGTAGGAGAGCCAGCTTGCAGAGCTGGAAAATGGAAGGGGGCAAGCTGAGAGGTGATGAAATTACAGAAGTTTGCCTGGAAGGATAGCAGGGACTGTCAGAGTTCAACCACTGTTCCTACAGAGAAGGGACTCCATCAGAAAAGACAAGTTCTAGGAGTCCTGATCTGCTCTCAGGCCCCTTTTGGCAGCTGGAAGTCCTAGGTCTTAACCGTCGGATGCTATAGACTAAATTGTCTGCAGTGTTTAGTAAAGGGCACAAAAAAATTAAGACGCAGGCTCACAATGCGTGCTGCTGCTTAAGATGATCTTATCCCAACAGAAAGCTTTTCATTCAAATTACTTCCACTCAGAAGCTCATGTCAAATGGGCACTAATTGAAAGCATACCTCCTCTTAAAGGGGGATATTCCCCCTCCACTGCTCTCACGCACACACTTTCTGATCACAGTCTAGCAGTGTGGGAGCCATAAACACTTCCCAGTAATGGACCTGAAACACATCTAACACCTCTAATTCTCTCTCCATTTTCCCAGTAAGGCAGAAACACCATTAATTACATAGAGAGCAGCCACCATGAAGCAACAGCAGAGCCTAACAGGCTGTACGGTTCCCCTTGTCAAAGTCACCTGCTCTTTCATCACCTACCTTCAGCATCCTCCAGTTTTTGGATTTGCTTCAACACTGGCTGGATATTCAGAAAGAGCTGGTGGCTGTTGCTGAGGAGCTGCAGCAAGTGCCGTGACCTGAAGGGGCAACCGGTGTAGTAAACCAGTTTCCGTGCAGAGGGCAAGCCGTCTGGCTGAATCTCAAATTTTTTCCCCTGCATAAAGAGGAGAGATGCCAGTGAAGTGAGCCAAAATGTGTTTTCAGCCACGCAGCTGCCAGCGATAGCTGTGGTCTTGCATGTACGAGTGACAGGACGCTGCCAGATGGCCTCTGTTCCGTCACACTCACCAGAAACGCCAGCTTCCCGATGTGTGACCAAGGGAAGTCGTAGAGGAGCTGGCGAACGTGATTCACCTCCTGCAACACATCAAACTCGAGTGACACCAGGGACCGGCAGGTACAGGGTGGAGTCAGCGACGTGCAAAGAATTTGCAAACCACCAAGAATGTGAGCTATGCAGAGCCTGGCTGTCGCAGGGGAGGCAGAGTTAATGCTACACCAGGAGGCTTTCATGGCAGTCTGTTACCTGATAGATGTGAATTCCTCTCAGGGTCAGGCCCAGGATAACTGTCGGGCGATCCTCCTTCTTATCCTAAAAGAACAGAAGAGCCTGGAGTCAAAGGTTAATCTACAAAGACCACGCTCTTGTCCTGGCACCTACTGCAGGAGAGGTAGCAGGGCTGCTCATCAGGCAGATGCCATCAGCTCATTTGGTTTTTATTGTCTTTGTAAAGTATACCTTGCCTTGTTGACCCCTGAAATATCTACACCGAAAACCCCCTCACACTGGGCGACTCAAGCATTTCACCTGCAAATGCCCTAAGCTGCTCTGGACAGGGAATCCTCTAGCTTTAGTGATTTGAGGGCATGGACAATTACTGGTCATGGAGGCACCTTTCAACCTCTCATACTGCCCTGTGCTGTCTCTGCTGTCCCTAAGAACATCCATCACTCACTCTCTCCGGGTGACAGACAGCCCCAAACAGAAGGGATGCCTGTCCCCTCTCCTTGCCACGGCACCTTAGGTGTCCCTTGTCTGGGAAGGGAGGCAATCAATGCCTGGAGTTACAGGGACTCTCCTCCCAACCTTTTGATATCAGTGTTGGGAAGAGGCAGTTTGAAATGTTCTTGGGGCTGGGCTGGGATACTGCCTTGTGTTTCCTCATGGTGTATCTTGGTATGACACACTTGCTCTCCAACAAGGAGATTCCTTTCCTTAAAGTTAAAAAAAAATAATAATGAACTAGTTCTTTCAGTCTCTCCTGGCATGGCAGATTTAGCAGTGGGGAAGAACCCGTACTTTTCTTGCTAGGAGGAGCAGAAGGAAGAAAAATTGGGGGGTAAAAATTTCTGGGCTCACAGAGCTCAAATTTTGCATCAAAACACACTCTTCTCATCCGGCTTGGCAAGAAGCAAGCCTTATGCCATCACATTACCTCCCCCTTTGTCCCTGTTACCACCCAGATCTCCAGTCCAGTGTCACTAAGAAATGCTTTCTGCCTCCCAAAAGCAAAGAGCTTCATAACTAGTACTGGTCTGGAGGAGAGATCCAGGTCTCAGCGCTGTGTTCCCTTTTTGGGGTTCCCAACCTCAGTGGCAGCCACGAGGAGGGTGTAATACCAAAGTGTCTGCTTTTGAAATCTCAGGGCGGCCAGCACGCTCACACCTTCACCTGGCATCCCTGTGCACTCCAGCGGGAGCTTTGTGACCCAGGTGTCATCTAGGAGCTCATCATGAGATGAGATAAACAACACATGAAGGAGTTAGCAAGGCATAAAATATTATGAGTTCAAGGCAGACAGGAATTTGGATATTAAGAGCAAGCAATTTCACAGCCTCGGTGCTTTTGGATATAAAATTGCATCATGTCCTGCCAGCTGTATTTGTTAATGGCATTCAGGTGTAACCAACCCTCTTCTGACTGCATCATTAACAGCACTGGAATCAAAACAGGACAGAGGAGAGACAGGGGGAGCAGCTATGGTTTGCGAGGAACTGAAACTACGCCTGGACTACAGACCAAACTGGAACTTTTCCTCCAGAAAACTCATGGTTCTGCAGAACACGGATGGATACAGACAGCATTCCCACCAAGCACAAACAGCCAAGAGGTTTAATTACGAGTCTGACAAAGCAAAGTATCGCTATTAGGCAGGGGGGAGGGGGGGGGAAGTCCAAGCCATTCCTAATTGCCTGAGCAGGTTTCACTCACCTAAGCAAAACAGAAAACTTTATTTTTAGTCCTATTTCTAGACCTAAAGTCTCTTAGCATGTGAAAATGAAGTGCATCCTGTTTAAGCAGGCTTGGGTTAGGAGTCTATGGCTCAGGGACAAGCAACAATGCAAGAATCCAAAAAGTGACATACAGCTGAAAACACCAACCACTCTGACGGAATTGGAGTGGGGAGGGTGGGGGGTAAGAAAGTGGGGATGACTCTGTGTCACCTTCAGTTATTAGGTGTGATAAGCTGGCCAACCTTGTCACCGTTTCAATGAACTGCAACATAAAAGGCTTCTCAGCGATTTCCCTGCTGCCAGTCCACTGACAGGCAGGGACAAAGCCAAAATTAAATTTTGCCATTCCTGTGGCCAGTTTATTGTCAGAGGAACAAACCCAGATTCTAGCTGTAAATTGACAGTAGATTTGTTTGTGGGGACAGGCCTCGGTGGCTAAAGTTTTAGACTTGTTTGGCCTCTCTGAACCAGAAGCAACTGTCCCTCAAATAAAGTGAAAAATGCAGCAGTGGACCCAGTTAATGATGGGAGAGAAGTTTAAAATAAGAAACTCTTTGTTTAACCTTCTGCAGCCTGTAGAAGTGGACGGGCACATCTTCCAGCAAGCACGACTCCTTAATGAACTTCAGCACCGCTTCCTTAGCACTCAGCCCTTGCTGTTCTCGGTGCATCTCTGGGGCATGTTTCAAGATGTAGTCGCTCCCTCTCTTTGCAATTATCTAAACCGCAAGGAAAACAAACAAGTCAGCAACTCTTCAGCAATCCCCACAGGAGGCAGCTGAGATCAACAGCAAAGCAGAGACTGGAGGTGGAGGAGGTTCATAGGGTCTCTTAGGATGTTAGTCCATGTTCACCTCTGCCTCCCCTGGAGGATAAGCATTTAAAGCAGCCCAGATGATAACAATGTCCCCAAACAGATCCTAGATGGCAAAATCAGAACAGATCAAGACTACAGAGCTCATGTCAGCTCTTTAAGTTCTCAAATGCTGGAATTAGTCTTCCTAACTCTTGGCATCCCTAAATTCTTATGGGCAGATAACAAATACTGCTCTGCATGCCAACACAATCAACAGACACATCTCCAAACCCTGCAGAAACGCTAGGTGGTCCTTTTAAGACCAGAAACTACACATTAGGCTTATTTAGCCTTTCCATCCTCAAAGGCGTGGATAACACTATCTCAAGGTATTTTCTATCTATTGGGAGTGATGGCAGACATGTGGCTTTGCTAAGCAGGAGGAAAACCCACACTGCTTTTGCTCTTGCCCTGCAAGCGCCCAGTTCCTATGCTCGGCCACATGCCCCTCCTGTGCCAGACTGGCCCCTTCCAGGCTGCGAGCAGCAGTGACAGATAAGAGGGATGTTGGCTGAATTAATTTTACAAAATCGCCCACCACGGAGGGCATTTAAAACCAGATCCCACCAGGCACTCAAGAACATCCTGCTGGGGCAACCTGCAACCTGGCTTAAAACCACCAGACCCCCTCACCCCCCGGTTCCCCCTTCCATTTAAAATTAAGCCCCCGGTTTAGTCTGTTCGGTAACACCTCTGCCCTCCTCTGCCTGCCTCAGCAGATTAGTTGCCCTCCCATGAGGAAGGCTGGGCTCAGTGGAGAACAACATCGATGCCATCAGCTGCACAACGTCAGCAGAAAGAGACACGCCAGCTCCACAGTTCAAAGCCAGGTTCATCCCCCCCAGGCAGCACCGCCTCTCCTTGCTAGCATGAGGCTTGGGGCAGCCCTCGGCCAAATGATCTCAAGAACGTGTTGGAAGAAGAGATCACATTGGAGGAGGAGGAGAAGGAGGAGGAGGAGATGGCTGAGTATCTCCACACAGGAGCCCAGGGGCAGGGAGAGAAGTGTCCCCATGCCTGCCAGATTTTGCTCTTTGGAATGATGCAATAAATCACCCACATACTTGCTTGGGGTGCACGCTTTGCAATGTTTGCCAGATGAGCAATAGTCTGTGATAAGACTTTTAACTGCCCCAGAAACAGCATTCATGAGACCCACCTTCTCCAGCCCTTTGTTAGCCACCTCCTGCCAGGCACCCCGCAGCAAGGAACAGCACGGGATGGAGGCCTGTTGTCTGGAGAAGGGCCCATTTCTGCACAGCAAGGCGGGCAGGCTGGGACTGGTGTGTGCAGGAGACGCTACCAGCCTTGGCTCCCTGACTAAACCCCCCTCAGTGCTCTGAACCTTCTCCCCGAGGCAGGGGACAGTGCCACCCTTCAGGGGAGACACAACTCACCCGGGGACAAGCAGCCAACTATCAAAGGCATCTGGGCTTTTTGACAGCTATCCCAAGGTGTGGGCTGGGCTTAAATCTGCTGTCACAGAGGAGAAGGGGACTCCAGAAGTAAAGCAGGTTGCAGAGGAGGGTCTGTCCAGGTGCCATCCTGCTCCAGAAGACGTTACAGTGCTGTTTCTGTACCAAAGTTAGCTTCCCTTCCTATTTTTATGGACATTAAAGTGTTTATCAACAGTTTTGTTGATGTTTTACCACAAGAGGAGAACACTCTGCAGGTAACCAGCTCTGACAGACTCTTAGCTAATTTGCCTTCGTTTGACAACCAAACTAACTCCTGGCTAAGCTGTTTTTAAGTCTGGAAGGGCACAAGCCCATGCGCACATGCTTATAAACAAACATGCAAACCCATTTCCAGGCCCTCCCCTTTTCTCTTACTGCAGTTGAGCCAGAGATGAATAACAAAGCAAGCACCAGAGGCATTGCACAGCAGTACCACCCCTTCGGGTTTGGCTCTGTCCATCCCACAGGTAAGCATTACAGAGATTGAGGCTTTGAGCAACCTGGTCTAGTGGAGAGTGTCCCTGCCCATGGCAGGGGGTTGGAACTTGATGATCTTTAAAGTCCTTTCCAACCCCAAACCATTCTGTGATTCTGTGAGATAGGAACAAAGGGCAATGGACTTGGATTCATGGCCCTGAGGTTTGAGGTTGGGCAGACCTTGCTGATGTACCACTGCAAACACACAACCCTTTAAGCTACAGAATTAAAGACAGCTCACTGTCGGAGTTATTCTTTTGACACCAACACATTCCCTCACTGATGAATGAGCCCAGGAGGAATGGCCACCTGCATAAAAGAGGAGGTATCTCCTGAGGGAAATTCAGGGTGACATCCAATCACTCTGCCTGATCATTGCAGCGGAAGTTGGGGAAGTTGCATGGCTGCAGTTAGGTACCACCTTGATGCAGCCCCTGCGTCATGCACAATCTGTTGACAGAAAGATCCCCCCCAAACTTACCCATTGCGGGAAATAAGCCTGAGGTTCAAAATATTTGCCAGCATGGACCTTCTCCCTGTAGTTTCCCATGTCTGCCTGTAAGCTGTAGGCAGCCAGCAAGAAGTAGATTTCTTCTTTGTGGTTGCAGCGAGACATAAGTACTTGCTCTTTGAGGTGGCAGTAGTAGAGCTGCCGTGCCACCTTATCACTGAAAGACACAAAAGCAAATTTACTTGGAGAATAAAGGAAGTTAAGACACAGATAAAGCTCCTCAAATGCATCTTCCTTGTGAGAGGAGGGATTAAACTTTAATATCCCTGATGTGTGCCGATGCCCCCCAATCCAGTTACGCACATGTAGAGAACACCAAGCCAAGATCAAGGTCTTCTCATGCTAAGTGGTGTACAAACATGGGAAACGGTAGCTTCTGTCTTGAGGAACATGAGATCTAAGAAGTTAGGGCAGAAGGCAGATGAAAGAAAAAAAATACCACATCACACCTGTTTTGGACACTGACTACAGCAAGCACTTCTGTTTCTCTGGAAAGCCTGTTGAGTCAAGAAAGTCAACTCCCTTGACTCCCAGTCCTGGTTCCTGCACAGCTGTCCTCCTTTCCCCTCTAAACCTGGCACTGCTTTTTCATTTCACCTTGCCTCAGGCTCAAGGTACTTTTCAACAGAAAATTCCCTGCAAGGTAGATCAAAAGACGCAGGAGCCTTGGGCTTGTTTTTGTCTTCCTCAAGTTGCTAAACAGGGAGAGTCTGATAAGGCATAACTATCACGTAGCATGGAGAACCCACACGCCCACCGCTGGGAGAGCTCGTGGGAAGCAGGCTACTGACATGTATGTACAGATGAGGTCCTGCACCTACAGTCTGCTCATAAGTGTGTGTATGTATAGGTTGAAGGGGCCAACTACCTCTGCATGGCTCCACAAAGCTCTCCAATTAAATTATTAGTGAGAGAGAAAGTTGCTTGTGATGCTAAAGGGTATGTACAGCAGGGTGGTAGAATGGTAGGCAGCCTCCCTTTGTACCTAAAAGCAAAACTAAATAAAAATCATTTAACAGCCAAACAGGCTCAGAAGAAAGACTCCTGTTTCCAAAATGAAAGACTGTGGAGAGAGAGAAAAAAAGAAAAACCCACAAAACTTTGTTCCAAGACGAGAACAAATGCCAAAAATTTGGTAAAGATTTTAATCCACCCGAATGATCCCAGCTCTTGGCTCATCTTGGGGTCACGCCCACGCCAGAAGTGCTGATGCAAATTAACTCTGTCAGTTGTTCATTTTAACTACCTCATCCTTTGTTCTGTATTGTGGGTCGGGATGGGGGTGTTTTGTGTGCAGCCCATATTCCACGCAAATGGACTGCACTCAAATAGAAAACTCTAGCTTATGAAGTATTATTTTGTCCATTTACAAAAGTCCATTTTCAGGAGGAGACTGCACAGAGCACTGCTCAGATACAAAAAGCAGGAAAAAAAAATATTAGCATGTGCTCTGGAGTAGAAATAGCTATTTTTTCATATACTCATATGATGGTTTTCATACAACCAAAAGATACAAGCAAAAGAATGTTAGATATCTTTTGATACAGTCGTCATTCAACATGCTCTTTAAATACGGATGGGAAAGCAGTCACAGTTTTCCTAGGGATAAAGAGCATGATTCAGGGGGAAAGCATTCATGGCTGGGTGAGGAAGTCTGTAAAGGTCTTAACAAAAAATTCAAGCTGATTTTTTAATCTTATTTCTGTGAGCTCACAGATATGAGCTTAACAAAGAAACATTATTTTTCTTGCCTATTAAGAACACAGTGAATAATTCAAAACACAGTAATTGCCACAGAAGGGAACTTACGTTATTACTCTTCCATTTTCTACGTAGTATTGTACTCTAAAGAACGCAACAAAAGGAGGGCTGAATTTCTCTGTTCCCTAGAGGAGAGACAGAAGACACGTTAAGTAACATTCAGCATCCAAAACTCCTGTTACCCTGTCTGGTAACGTTCTCTTCTCCCAAGCTCACTCCCCATACTGCTTTTCATTTTCTACTCTTAGCTCTTGACAAGTTTAGGGGGGGGATATGACTGTCTTGGATGCTCACAACAATGAAGCATCATAAAACATTTAGGCTGAACAGTGAAGCATCCTAGGGAGAGCATTAGATTTGGGATGGTAGGGGGAGGTGAACAGGTATCAAAGAGTCCCAATATAGCCTGGGGATGCCCAGCCTGGCCCAGAATTACCTAGCTCAGCACCTGGCAGCACCACAGACGCGTTAGCGCTGAACACAGCAAGTTTAACGCAGCTTCCCTCCAAGCACCAGGAGGTACGGTGGCAGGGCAGTGTGCCATGCTGGCACGGCCGCAGCGTTTCCCCGGCACACCTAGGAGTAACCAGCTCTCTCTGCTCCACACCGCATCACTGAGCTGGGACATACGTGCGGCTGCGTTCAGCATTCGCTGCCCCAGGCTGGGGCGCACCAGCCCGATATTAACTCCTCGCCTTTTGTTTGGCAGGGCTGATGTTTAGTTATTCACATCTTCCTGCAGCCACAGACCAAAAGGAGGCACTGACGTCTGCTTCACACTGAAGATGTCTGCTAGGAGAAAGCCAGCAGGTATTCTGTTGTTTCAACCTACCTTTCAGACTTACAGGCTTGTTTAAGTGGGAGAGAAAAGAAGGAAAAAAAGAAAGAGAGACAAGGAAAAAAGAGAGACAAGGAAAAAAGAACATCTTATCTTCTAGGTCATTCTCTCATCTTTCCTACTTTGCCCCTTGCTTCTTTAATGGTCATAGAGGTAACTGCTGACACAGGCAGTCCCCAGGCTTTGCTGGTCAGACCCCTCTCCCTGGCACATGGCATGCCGTGCACACCTGATGCAGGCAGCAACAACTTGGTCATCGTGCAAATATTTACATTTTATTTCTAGAACTTGTTCGTAGTCACCCTATTTTATCAGCTGGACTGGGCTTTCCACCTGAAGCCTCTTCGTAGCAAATAAATCCCTGTCTGCTAACCCAGCCCAAGAGCCTGACTCCTCTCAGACTTCAGTACTGCCAATGGCAACTCACTCAGCCTTTTATGATTCACCTCACACCAGAGATTCAACAATTTCAAGAATCCAGCCTCAAAGCAGCCACAAAGCATACCCCCTCCTGAGGTGACCAGAAACACCTGCCTTGGAATACCCTCACCGGCTTTGAAGAAACGCTTGTTTGGGAGAAGCACTACGGGATAAGAGATCCCCGAACCTCACTAGTCAATTGCAAACTTCTCAAAGCAGCAGCAACAGCAAGCGTGCCTACTCTGCAAAAGAAAACCCTTAAGGAAGGTGGAAAAAGTCATCATGAGCTAATTAAGATATTTGAATGTAATTGCATGCTACACTTTGTTCTAGGCTGCAGCTCCTCTAATAATGACACACACAAACAGGCATCATCATGCCTGAATGACAGGCACTGAACAATTACATCAGCTTGTCTTTATTTCACGCAGCTTTTCCCTCCCTTGACAGGGCTGGCTAGCCTTTAAAGAACAAAGACTCTTAGCAAACAACATGGCCTTCCTCTCACTCCATCCTTTTGCATGGACTCTGGAAGCTCCAGCCCTCTCCTTCATATCGGGTTCAAGTCACAAAAGGTCATTTTAGGCTCTTCTGCTTAAGGATAACCATGAGGTCTCCAGACTCTTCACAGGCTCACCTAAGGTCAAAAGGAAGACTGACCAACTGACCTTCTCCCCTCCTGCAGCAGCTGAGCACCAGCCACGTGGCTACTATTGCCCAGGTAAAGTCATGTAAGGGGCTGTTTTAGCTTTTTTAATTAATTGTATGACTGTGCACCAGTCACTGCATCTTGCTACTGATCAGCATTCTTCAAGAAATGCTTTCTAGAGCTTAGTTTAAGAGCTTTCATTTCACTGAGCAGTCCAGTACCAAAGCAGGAGCCTCCAAAATCAAACATCTGTCTTACTTTGGTGCTCTCTTTCTTCCATTCCTTTGAAAAGTATTTGCTAAGCTTCTGCTCCAAGTCTATGAAAACATATTCATTATCTGAAAGACAAGAGGAAAAAAAAATGCATTTCATGTTAAAGAATTAGAAATTCTTATTCATGAAGTACTTAGGTGACTACACAAGTTGTTTCCAAACAATACACTTTAAACCAAAGCTGACCAGGGAACAGACATGGCAGGGAAAAGAGAGGGCACCGGGTCTCCTACATACATGCGCTACTCCAGACAGGACGGAAGGAAGGTCAGCTATGCCTTGATTCAAGAGATGCTGAGCTAAAGTTTCCCAAGCACCTTAACCAGAAATGCAGAATTCTTGCTTTACAAGCAAGAATACACTTACAGGAGGGAAACATCATCTTACCAAGCTAAGTATACTTGACAGTTTAGCAGATTCAGGTTTTTTTATTATTAAACAAGCAAGCCCTAGCCAAACTTCCACTCTACCATCATGTAGCACCACGGTGCAATGTGGCATAAGCGAGCGGACAGTCAGGTATTTCACAGATGTCATCCTCCACATATGAATGGGATCCTCTGAAACAGTAAGAAGGAGGAGGACCAAACCCAAATGCCCTCCTCAGAAGGGCCGGCATCTCCTGCTCACACCCAACTTCTTCCACAGAGCAAAAAGATGAATGAAAGGAAGGGAAACCTGGCCTGCCTAAAAGGACCAGGACTTGCTCTGCACCCAGGTGAGGGTGAACAAGAGACAGCGTGAGCAGCACATCGTCCTGAGAGAGTTTTGCGCTGTTTTCAAAACCAACGTTTTGTAACACCACTTACCATTCAAATCCAAACAACTCAGCCAGTGAAAGATTTTTTTTCCCTGAGCCTTCTCACATCTCTTAAAAAAAGACCTGATGGGTGTTTTCAGCTTCAGCAGCAACACCAGCTGAGCACGTTCACCTGAACAGTCCCTCTACTCTTTGGTCTTGCTCAGGAAAGTGTTTTGACAGGTGACATAAGCGCCAAGTTGAAGAGCTTGTTCCTCAGATGTGAAAAGAGCAAGAAAAAAAAAAAGAAAAAAAATCCCAAAACCTTCACAAAACAACCTTCTGCCCCAGAAGACCAGCCTGGACTTTCAAGGTTTGGCTTTCTGATGTCAAAGGAAAAAAAAAAAAAAAAAGGAACGGGAGAACAGAGGTGGATTTTTTCTAATGAAGATTTAGAACCAAAAGCGAGCCAGCGTTACAGCAGGTATTCAAGGGGGCTCTGAGCTACTTCGCAGCCATCCTCCCAGAGCATTCCAGTTCCTTATGGGGCAGATGCAGCAAATGCTTCCTTTGCAAGCTTTTATAAAACAAGCAAGCAAATCAACCCCCTACCACCACTTCCTCCAGCTCCCATCTCAAGTGAGAGAAGCCAGACCTGGTGCTGGGCAGAACTGGTCCACACACCACACCAACAGGACACCTTGTGTAAGATACCAGTAAATCGGACACAAATAACGAGGACGATCCCAAAAAAGGCCTTTTTCCATCTCTGTGGTCTTTCCTGCATTATACTGATTACAGCTGTAATTTTAATATAATTACACTGCTGTTTACCAGGTTGCTTGACTTGTCACATATACAACACAGAATTTAACACCACTGTTGAAATCGCTGGACAAAAATCCTGAAAATTTTACTGGTGGGAATTGAAGTGCTGTAGCACACAAGGGGATAGAGTTGTTTAGCTATTTTGACAAGGAGAGGAGGAGCTTTTAGCATCGCAGAGACTGCATCCTGTACCTGCCTCTTCACTTATACCAACAAGATAGGGAGGCTGTGCCGGCCCCAACCCCTTCTTCTCTAAGTCCATTAAGATCAGATAACACTGCTTTGAAAAGGCTGATGGAAGCCCTGCTCTGAGAGAGATGGGTTTGGTCCTTCTCTTGGACTTGTCTCTGTCCCCTGTCAGCTGCCAAGCATCTCTCTGTAAAGCTTTTCTTAAAAAGTAAATAAAAGCTTATTTAGAAAGCAGTTGCACAGCAAGCGATGGGAGCAGGATGTAACACCAGCACAGCAGCCTGTCTCTACGGGCTCCTGCAGTGGGACTGGGGCTGCTCCCGATGGCACAGCAGCACTGGGCAGAGCCTGGATCAGTTCCACCAGCATCGCAGAGTTTAGCTGCCGTCTTCCAACGAGGGCAGGGAACCTGCATGGCTGTGACAAGCTGTGGGGTCAGTTTTCCCTTCTCGCTCAGTGAAATACCAGGGGCTGAGCAGTGAGGCTCTGAACCAAAGTTGACCTCTAGATGAGCCTCACAGCCTAACGATATATCTGATATGTATAATATTGATCACATATGCCAGTTTATAAAAGCTTCGTTGAAATGCTCATAGAGCTTTGCTGTAACACTTCTGTGTAAGGTTATCCAGCAGAAAGATACTAATTGCATAACAGGAGCCAAAATTAAGCACGGATGTGCCCTGTCGCCACAGATGGCAAAGGAATACGGCAAGCTGTGACAAGCTTTGTTGAGAGATACATAATCAAGGTTAGTAGATTCTTTTGTTCTGGTTATCTTCTCTCTCCTGCCCTGGCCAGGCTAAAGAGGGAAATTAACAAGGAGTAAACCACACCAGATGTTTTTCACAGTTTAAGATAGAAAGTTGTTTATTCAACTGTATAGAAGCCGGGACCGCTTGCAGGGAAATCTGGAAGCCTCATCTATCCCGTGGACGCACTGTATAGAGATTTCCCAATTGCCGGGATGAGTTCTCCAAATCCTTGCTGTAAATGTGCTCCCCAGAGACTGCGGATCTGGATGATGGTAACGTATTAATAGGGCAACTGGTGATGTATCTTTCTTAATCACTATTGCTAACTATGTAGTAATGATTAGGTGCATTGTCTTACTTTCTGCTTGCTATAGTGGTTCGCTTATTGTTTTGCTGCTTTACCTTATCTTGAATTTATTTTCACTGTATTATTTTTCTCATTATTCTATCACTTTAAACATAAGTAAAAATAAGATGACTACTTCAATTTGGTGCCTGTGTCCTTTGTGCCAACACTGTCTATTGGCAAAACACTCAGGAATGATCCCATGCTCACAGGTGTTTAGAGAAGTACCTGAGTTATTCCTCAGCCATGTGGGAAACATGGCAACAGCAAGCGTGGTGATACACCCTGAGCCATCCCATCACACACAGAGACTGGGACTGAAAGGCGAAAAGGGTGACAGAGTGGTTCCACCACAGTAAAGTAATTTGTCACCCACACCCCACATCCCCTATTTATCTCTGTGGTGTTAATTAAGTTAGAGTGATGACTCTGGGACAGTCCAGATGCCAAGCCTGAGGACTCCAGGTCATTATCATGCCTACTGAGAGCTGCACATAAAGCCCCAAAATAAGTCAGGCTGAAGGAGGAGGACACCCTGATGTACCAGCTCTCCCCAGGGGGTCCTGCTCCTCCCCAGCCCAGCCCAGCATCCTCCCTGTCCTCCCTCCCATGCAAGAATGCAGCACTGCATTCCAATTAACTTAATATTGCTGGAATGTCAACCTGCAGCGTAAGCCTCCATCTACAAAAACAAAGAGGTATTGCCCTCCCCAGCCCTATGTGGGGTGTGGGTTTTTTTTTTTTTTTTTCATTAAACTGGATGAGTGGTGAAACTTAAGAGATCTTTTGCCAGATGCTAAAACTGTCTCGGTTTGAAAACAAGCATCTCTAACAGAGATGAGGGCACCACATTGCAGCACTGTAAAGAACAGTATAGAAATGCACAGATGGCCGCCTTTCCAGGGAAGAATATGTCCAATGTGTGGATCCAAACAGGGCTGGATACTCAGCAGGCACAAACTGTCGTTGCTTCACTGCCTCAGCTGAAGGACAACAACTGAAAGGTGCTAAGAAGCTGGCGTAGAAGCATGCACACATGCAAATATGCACCCTGCATTCATGAATCTCGTCTCAGTGCTGGCTTAAAAATATATCAGCGCTCCCACTCTGCAAGTTTAGCTCAGCACATTTACATATTTAAGCAAATATAGGATCTGCATTGTTGCAAAAAAAGTACATTTTAACTATTTAGACAGTCCAGAAGATTAGGATTCAAATCAAATATGAATAGTGCAAAGCCAAATTTCCACACAGCAAGCATTTTCTGCCTTAAAGAGAAGGGAAAATAAATTATCTTTGGCTATAGGGCTTAACTTCTCCCAGGTGCTGCAAGAAGCCTCATGGCAACACCACCACAGAGAGCTTTAAGGGACAGCTAAAGCTTAAAAAAAAAAAAAAGCACTCAAAAATACCTCACAACACATGCTGTAGACCTCACATAACCTGTTTAGCTTCCCTGAATGGATTTTTTTGTTTGTTTGTTTATTGAAGAGCTGGTTACACACTCCTTTTGCATGTGAAGCTCCCACAGCTTCCAAGTGCTGGTGGCCTGGGAAGCTCCCTATCCACATGGCATCTGCTCCTACCACCTCCGCATAACTTCTTGATGTTCCCGGTGTTACCTTTCAAGCCAAACGAAAGAAACCTCGTCTACTTTTCAGTACCTGATTGATTAGTTTACTAAGGGATCTAGAAGATCTTGGTTCAGGACAACCTTGTGGTTTCAGCTTTAGCTGGAAAGTGCGCGTATCCCAAGTGGAGAAGGGAAGAACCACAAGAGAAAGTGGGAGTAAAGCAAGGGAGGTCTTAGATGAGGTCCCTTTACCTGGGATGGACAGAAGGTATATGGAGGGGTTGACGGTTGGACTTGATGATCCTTGAGGTCTTTTCCAACCTTAATGATTCTACAATTCTAATATCAAGAAGCCCAAGGCCATGTGGCTGTTAGGAACTGTTGAGGTCTGAAGACTGAGATAAAGATTCAGTCATTCCTAACTATGGATAGGTACTGCAGGAATTTGATGTTGGCTTCTTACAGTTAGCAACAAGGCGTGCCCAGGCAATGGACTTCTGGCAGTGTCACAGAGGGTTCTTCTGCACAAGAATGGCAGAACTGTTTCCAGCACTGGTCATTCAGGAGCAAACCAACCCCTGGCAATTCTCAGGAAGGAGAGCACTTGGATGGATGTTGTCCTGATACTGAAGGAG